AACAAGATTCCTGACGAATAAGAATGAATAACAGGTTGATAACTCAAACATTTCATCAGTATTATGAAAAAAGTTATTGTGTTTTTATGGTAATTTTATGATTATAATTTGAAGCTATTGATTATTTTTTGATAGATTTGTAAAGCAGTTAAAAATAAACGTAATACATAAAATTTTGGAGGTTATATGACCATTTAATAAAGCCTTCGCCACGTTTTCTTCATAAAAAAGCATTATTTTTAATTTATTTTATTTATCTATTTTTTTCAAAGAAAAGATCTGCATAAAATTAGCCAATCATTTTTGTTTTGTTTTTTTCTAAAAGATTTCTAGATTGTCTATCCTTACAGTATTTGGAAATTCCATATTTGGTAATAATCCTGACTGTAATAATAAATTTTTTCGAGTATGTTTTTTTGCGAATTCGGAAACATAAATGAAAATCTCAATGGCTCACTTTGCTTCCTCATTTGTAAACTTGTTTCTTTTAAAGTTTCAAACAACAAAAATGTGAAAAGATCTGCATAATAAAAATTTGGAATAAATTAATATTAATATTAATATTAATATCTTTAACTGCTTCTCATTTCTAAAATTTAAAAATGAGCAAATGACCAATTTTTAATGTAAAACTTATAACTATTGAATGAACAAAAATGAAAATACGATATCAAGTCACTCCAAACGAATATTATTCTATGGTAAAACGGGGAGGGGGGGAGTTGTGCATTGTAAATAATTTAAATTTTTTTTATATATATGTTTTACATATTTCTAATTTTAAATTAATAAATGTCACAACAAGATTATATTGTTAAAAAAAAAAAAAAATAAAAAAAGAAACAAAAATGAAAATTACAGGTATGAATTTACATATCTGAACATGTATTTGTATTTGTAGATTGTTATACTTTTTTTGTAGAGGAAACAAATCCAATTCCACAAGAGACTGATGCTATAAATGATATGAATGAGAGGGATGTAGAAAAACATAAATCAGAATCAAACCTTAGTGAAATGTGGGAAAAATTGATAATGATATAATCCAGTAAGAATCATTTAAAAAATAAAATTATTTTTTCCTTGGAACTCACCTTAAAAAACAAAGTTTACTGACACTAACTATGTTACTTTGCCAATCGAGTTGATTATTTTGTGATAGGATGGGCTTGAAGGAAAATCAAGTTTATGGAAATAAAGGGGGTGGTGATAAAGTCAAGGAATACCTGCAAATATATTTTCTTTTTGGTAATATGGATAGAAGTCAACAATTTTCTGCAAAAGATATGTCAGAAGAATTGAAAGAGCATGTAAAACTTGGTGAACTTGCATCCAAAGAGTTGCCAACAATCAAAACAATTGAAGGATGGATAAGTCGTTTTGCTGCTTCTCATAAAAAATCAATGGCACAGAAAATTTTAGAAGAAACCAAAATAAAAATCAATGACATTCTAAAAATTCATTCTTGCTTACTATAATTGCATCCGAAATTATTTTATGGAGAAATTCAACATTTTGAGTTTTAAAGTTATTTTTTAGTTGATATTAAAATGTTTTATATTTATTTTTTGACACATTCTTATGTTTTCCAATAATTTATATATGTAAAAAATATGAATTTTATACCCATAATCCAGGACCATTGGTTAAATAACAGAAAACTGACAAATTTAACAGCTCATATTTTCATAAGTAAATATAATATTTCACATTTGTTTAACATAGTTGGATATAAAAGATAATATATGTAACATAATAAATGTGTGACTTTTTATGGGGGCAAAAAAATCGACCAAATTAATTTTAATATGAAAATAAAATTTTTTGCCCCGATCAGCACTAATTATTTATTCGTGGAACACGAATTAATTGCTTATAGTAGCAATTGGTCAACTTCAAAATACTAAAACAAAAAAAATTATATCATTTTAAAATTTTAACCGATAAGTTTTATTGTTCATGACTCAAGCTTCAAAACTTATCGGCTTGTTTTTTCTTAAACTGAAAATTGGCAGCGCCTTAGCATTTTGAAAATTCCGAATTTTGTTATACATTTAAGAAATTGAGACTAAGTAAATTTCGTGTAACAAATTTTTTTTTCATGGAATATTTTCTATAACATACATTTGATTTATTTGATTTATTTATTTCCTTTTTTTATTAATAAATAAAAGTTCTTTACAACAAAAAAGTTTAACGAACATATTACATTAAAAGAAAATCATTACCAAATTTGGTCGTGAGATTCAAAATATTGTAACACAAAAATTATTGTTGCACTTCTGAGCATAACTTTCAAATTTAAAAAATCTATGAAAAGAAAATTTGAGACAAATTTTTTTTTATAGATTAATAGACTCCCCTTTTAAAGCTGAATTGAATGGTGGTAAGTTTTTTAAAATCCAATGAGTGGATCACATAATATTTCAAAATTTTTAACTTTTGAGTATAGATGATCCGCACTGTAGGTGTCCTGCACTATACACAACGCAATCATTTTTGTAACACTTGAAATTTCCTTTTTTTTTCGAAAAATTCCTTTTTTAAACAAAATTCTATATGAAAAAATGACCGAAAATCCCCTTTTTAAAGCTAAATACGTCGCACTAAATTAAATTCGTCATATTCTTTGTTTAAATTAAATTAAAAAAAAAATAGTAGATCAAAACCAAAGCATACAATCTATTCCAGTAAGGGAAAAAGCAATGTTACGGGATTTGAGCAGTCTTTTGTAAGTGTTAAATAATGATAATAATAATTAATAAATAATAAAAAAAAAAAATTTAATTAAAATAAATTAAATAATTAATTAATAATTAGTTAATTAATAAGCCACCGTTATTTTTTATTTAATTAATCACTGAAACTGTATTACGTTTCGTCATTAGATCTGCTCTCTCAATTTTTTGATTTTTCACATTCGGTCTATTTAGTCGAACTTATCCAAAATGACAAAAATCGGCTATTACGTACTTCTCTGTTGTTGTTCACCCTTTTTGGTTATTTTATTATTGGCTTCTCTTTTTACTTATTTATTTTGGGGAATCTTACTTAGCCCAATTTGGTTAATCATACTCTTGGTGATACTTGCGTATTTTGGATATTATAAATGGGCAAGGTAACTGTATAATCGTCATTTTTTTTTCAAATTGATAAAAAGCCCGATACTCACAAATTTTTTACAGAGAAAACTATTTCAATAGAAAAATGAATTTTCCAGCGAAGTTTTCTGAAGAAACAAAAAATCAAGTCGCTTTATGGCATGATATCATTCAAAATAAACATAAGGATGATGACGATGATGACGATGAAATTTTTTGTAACGACCCATTATTAATCATCGAGTATAATCAACCGGGTCTCGCAAGCCGAAATATCACTGAAAATAATGTTAGCGCAGGTATAACCATAAATATTTATATAATTCATTAAAAAAGTTTTCTAACTATTTTTTGGATTAGTAATCAGAGGAACTCCAAACTATACTCCTATCGCATTTCCAAGGGCAAACCTGGCACAATCAAATTCAGTATTCGCATTTAACGATATGCAGATAATGGAAGATGCTATTGCACGATTATATGAAAACTATAATAACAATGTGACAGGACGACAAGATATTATTGTTGGACGGGTATATTGTGTGTTATTTCGCAGGGCCAATACATTTGATGTTATTGAACGACGACATGTTTTTGATTGATATAGTCATCGTTTACTTTTCTATCTTAGCTTTTTTTGTTATAAATTAAAGTAGAGAGAATTTTTTTTTTGCATTAATTTTGATGCTAATAATATTTTTGGGCTTACTACTTTAAATTATGAAATGTAATTTAATAGGGCAAATTATAGTTTATTAATTGAAATTTATTAATTTAAATATGATTATTTATTAATTAATTATAACAATAATAGTAATAGTAATAAGTAGTTAGTTGATAAAGTTAAAGTGGTGAATCATCGATTGGTAGATAAATAATTTATTTTGTTTGTTTTTATTATTATTTTGAAAATAAATTTGATTAATTTCACATTTTTATAATTGAATAATTAATATAATACATAATTCTCCTAATGTCAGAAATCAAAATAAATAATCAAATGAATGCGAAATAACATCATTAAACACTAATACTATTACTAATATTATTACCAATACTATAATATCGAGTTTATATTTTTTTTGTTTAGGAATGATTGACACAAAATTAACTAAAAAGACATTACATTTCTTTTGCTAGATGTTTTTCACCTTCGCACCAATGTAGAAAAATTCAATGCCGGATATTTTAAATAATTTCTAATGCTCTACTAGCTGCATTGCACAACGAATTTATACATTCAGGTACCGTACATCTAAAAATAAGTGCTTCTTTTATTAATGCTGCGATTTAATAAATTTGTCAGAGTAAGTGGTGGGTCGTCTTGATATAATAGTGGATCTTTGTAGCTATGATAATGTTGTAGAATGGTGAAGGGATTATCGATCTCTTCAAGGTAAGCTTCAGTAATTTGTTTATTAGGTTATTTTTGTAGCAAATATTTCAATATAATTTCTTGTCTATGTGGGTTTTCTGCTTCATAGGTTATTATTTGAGATTTCAGCTTTTCTTTTGAAGGTTGATGATTGATTTTCAGCAAAATGAAGTTCTTTTGTATGAAGTGAAACAAATGTAAATATAATTGGTGCTGTATTTTATTGTAAATTTACCTCAAAGAATTTTATCAACAAGTTGGTTCATTTTTTTTTATGACTTTCTTTACAATAAAAGAAAGCTTCAAAATTATTTTTTCAGATTCTTTGAATTTTTCTTTGGTTTTCCGAATGTTGATAAATAACAGCCTCCAATTCATCTTATTGAGCATCCAACATCCCTGATCAAGATATTTAATCCAGAATTTTTGCAGGTCCTGGTGAAATCGTCTCCATCGTAGAAGTTATCCATACCCATAACATTAATTATTCTAAAACTTTTGTAAATAAACATTGGTATAGAGTTAATTGATTAAAAGTGATCAGCAAAATCATGTTTTTCAATTGAGTATACGTATCAAATATACAAAAAAAAATTATATATTTTTAACATAATTTCGGCAATTTCGACCGGAAACCTTAATCCAAACGAGAGCATTGATTCTATCAAAAACTATGCAAAGTGTACCTTTCCTACAAGTTCATCTTTATAAGAACATAATTACTTGGTTCCTTTGTAATTGATTCATCTTGAATAACAAATAGATGGACCTTTTGTGGACTAAGATAATAGATCTTATTTACCTCGTCAGGAAAAATTTCCCGACGCAATATTACACTCATAAGTTATTATATAATGATAATGGATGATTTTTTTTTTCGTTTTAATTCTTCACAAATAAATATCTGAGCAAACATCATGCAGTCAAAGCTCGTTTCAACAAATTATAATTAAATTCGTAATAACGAACTCTAAATGCAACTTTCTCGTCCATGAATGAGGTTTGACTGTATGCATATATTGTGTTAAAACGTGAAATCTCCATTTTCGGAATTTTTTTAATCTGCCGTTAAATTTATTGGTGCGATTTAAACATTCAAAGTTAAATATGGTTTATATTTTAAAATTTTTTTTTTGTAAAAAATCTATTAGACATGTTATCATTTTTGTTCCAAATAAATTTGTTGATTAAGCAATCATTACCACCTTGACTACCCTAAATCATAAGATACATTATTGTTATTATGATTTGATCAGAATTCTTTTCTATAACAAGGCGGAAATGATTCCTATCTTGTGGGAAAGACATGTTGATTAAGAGGTATTGATATACTTTACTTTTTTCACTTATTCAAATTGAGAAGAAGCATGACAAAAGTCATAAATAAAATGAATGGGAAAATTATTTTTGTATATTTTTCTATGCAATTTGTTCATTACCTTTATCTTTACTTAATTCCACTCGTAATGCATCCCCCACCTCTTTACCTCTCCTCTTCCAGCTTCTTCTTTTCATCGATTAATCTGTCTCTCTGCTCCTCCCACACTTTCTTTTGTTCACCACTTTTCCATTTTTCATTCTCCAACTTCACCTTCAATTTGTTCAACATCTTTCTTTGTCTCTTCGTATTCCTTCTTCACCTCTTCCAATTCCTTTTCAATTTTCTCGGTTGTTGTCATTTTAAAATAACAATTTGAACCAATAGTAAATGAGTTACAATTCTTGGCACATGACTCGGACAAATAAAATTGATGATGATAATAAATAATAATAATAATTTGAATAATTTGAATCTAGAACCGCATAAATTCATAATATAATATTAAAAACATGCTTCATACAAAATCTTATCTTAAACGTACGAAAAAAGGAAATGCCGTTAAAGTTGTTAAAGAACATTATTTACGAGATGATATTGGCTGTGCTGTAGAAGGCTGTACAATTTGTTCTTCTGACACAGCCCCGGTTCTAAAATCAACCTCAACTTTAATAACACAACTTGTTCCAAAACCTCATTTTATTATACCTGATACAAATGTCTTTATGAGACAGGTTTAATACCTTTTGTTTTAAGAATGACATTGCAGTAAAAAATTTACTTAAATCTCAAAAATTGATCTAATTCACATTATAATATAGATTGATATTATTGGACATGAAGCAATTAAAAATGTGATAATATTGCAAACAGTATATGAAGAATTACGAAATTTAAACTCTTCAATTTTTAATAGATTAAAAGAATTGATTAAAATCCCTGAACGATGTTTCTTTGTTTTTTCTAATGAACATCATCGGTAAATCATATATAATCATCTCCATTATTTTAATTTGTGGCAATTATAAAAATAATGAATGCATCAATTTTTTTTTGTTTCAAAAAAAAAAAAAAAGGGAAACTTATATTGAACGTTTAAAAGACGAAAAATCAAATGACAGGAATGATCGAGGTTAGTTCAAATGAAAAAAAATATAAATATTTTATTGGTTAATTTATATATTTTATTAAATAATTAAAATGTTTATTCTAGCAATAAGATTTGCTGTGAAATGGTATTCTGATCATCTTAAAAAAATTGCCACTAGAAACAATGTTGTTGATATAGTTCTCTTAACAGAAGATATGGAAAATAAAACAAAAGCCAAAGAAGAAGGATTATTAGCATATTCTGGTATTCTTTTATTATCTATTATCCATTTAATTAATTATTACTCATTATCTATTTATTATTCATTACCCATTATTTCATTGTTATAAAGTAAGAGAATATGTTGAAAGCATGACTGAATATCCAGAATTGGTTGATATGATTGGAAATATATCTATATCTGATAATAAAGATAAAAAATTTGTTTATGATGATGTAAATTTGAAAAAATATATATATATAATTTTTTTAATTTTTTTTAAAGAAAAATTATTCTTATAAATTATATAATTAATTTAAATAGTATATAGGTCAGAATCAAATAACAAATGGTATAAAAAACGGAACATTACATCAAGGAGAATTGAATATCAGCACTCATAATTACCTTGAGGTATTATAAGAGATCCTTTTATTTTAAAAGATTTATATAAGTTTATTGTTCTAATGCTTTTTATTATTCTTATGATTTTTAGGGATCAATTATGAGTAAAATTGATGGAGAAGAAGCACAAATAATGATAATTGGACGCCGATGTTTAAATAGAGCAATCCAAGGAGATGTGGTCGTAGTTCAATTGTTACCCAAATCTGAATGGCTTAAATCTCCTACAGCTGTTGTAGTTGAAGAAGGTGCATTAACATATAAGGCAGATATTAATATATATGTGTTATAATAAAATTATTCAATATAATCAACTATACGGTCTATCAATATAAATAAAAAAAAACAAAATATGCTTATTGCCTATTACTTATATTTATTTGCTAAATTTAGATGAGGAAAATAATGTAATAGCTGATCTTAATGAAAATGGTGAACCGAAACCACAAACAGATGATCTTGATAATGAAACAAGCAAATCATTGCAACCTACTGGAAAAGTAGTTGGAATTATTAAAAGAAATTGGAGAACGTATGTATATATTAATTGTTGGTTAATCTATCTAATCAAATTTTTTTAAAAAGTAAATTCGAAAAAAATTTTAATTATCAAAAAAAAAAAAAAAAGATATTGCGGCTCTATTAGTAATCAATCAGTAAAAGGTTCGGTAACATCATATTCATCAGAAATTGCGTATGTATATACTATGGATAGACGTATTCCCAGAATAATTATAAGAACAAGACAAGCTCAAAAGCTGATAGGACAAAGAATAGTTGTTTCGATTGATTCTTGGTCAAAAGACACAAAGTATGTTTTCAGGAAAAAAATATTAGTTTTAATTAATTGATATTTGGTTGATCAACTAACCATTAAAATTTTGAATTTTTATAGATTTCCAACAGGCCACTTTGTAAAAGCTTTGGGACCTGCGGGGGACAAAGAGACCGAGACGAATGTCTTACTTTTAGAACATGAAATTCGTTACCAAGATTTTAGTCAACAGATACTAAAAGAACTACCAGTTGAAGGTGAAAATTGGATAGTCAAGGATGAACATTTCAAAGGACGCAAAGACTTCAGAAAACTAAACGTTTGTAGTATTGATCCCCCTGGTAATGAATGATCCACATATAATCCTAATAGTTGCCTATCTATTTATTATATTTATAATTTATTTACTAACTAAACGATTAATCAAACAAACTCTTATAAAATTTAAAGGATGTACTGATATTGATGATGCATTACATGTAAGAGAACTTCCTAATGGAAATTATGAAGTTGGAGTCCGTAAGTATTTAAGAAAAAAAAAAGTTATTTAAAAAAGATTTATTTTATATATAAATATATATTTTTTTAATTTTTAGACATTGCAGACGTTACATATTTTGTTAAACCTGGTACTGCAATGGACGAAGAGGCTTCAGTACGTGGAACCACAGTATATCTTATCAATAAACGTATTGACATGTTACCTCCATTATTAGGAACAAGTAAATTAGTTATTAAATATTTTGTGAGCTTGGTATTTAATAATCAATTAATATGTTAATATACACATTATTTACATTATATAGATCTATGTTCTCTCCACGAAAAAAAGGACAGATTGGCATTTTCTTGTGTTTGGGTAAAAAAAAATTTTTTTTCTTTTTTAAAAAAAATATATTATTACGGAAACCTTAATTTATGTATATATATTTAATAATAAATCAAGGAATTAAATCATGAAGCAGAGATTGTTAAAGTGGATTTTACAAAAAGTGTTATTCAATCAAAAGCATCATTAACATATGAAGAAGCTCAATTACGTATTGATGATTTGTAAGTAATATACATATTTGAATGACTATTGATAATTATTGATAACACTTATAATTAATAATTCGTGTTTTTCACTTAATAGTCGATTACAGGATGAACTCACAAAAGGTCTTCGAATTTTAAATGAATTGGCAAAAAAATTACATAAAAAACGTATAGAAGGCGGTGCAATCACATTATCTAGTCCAGAAGTTCGATTTCAATTAGATTTTGATTCTCAAGATCCTGTTGATATTGGTATTATTATTGTTATTATATTGGTTATTGTTATTATTATTATTATTTATTTATTTATACTAAAGATAAAAATACATATATATATAGAAATGAAGGAATTAAGAGAGACTAATGCATTGGTAGAAGAATTTATGTTGTTAGCCAATATTTCTGTTGCCAAAAAAATCTTTTCAAAGTTTTCTGCATCATCATTGTTAAGGTAACATTTACATTTACATATTTACTTTGACTAATATTTTTAATCATTTTTTACTTTATTATTATTGCAAATAAACAGACGACATCCTCCATTGACTACATCAAAGATGGCAAATTTAGTTAAAGCAATTACACCTTTAGGTTTAACTTTAAAATTCGACACGTCAAAAGAACTGGCCGATTCATTAGATGCTGCTATAGTAATAATTTATTTTTATTGTATATATTGATTGATTCTTGGGAGTAAAAAATTTATATATTTAAAAAATAAATATAGATACCTGATGATCCATATTTCAACAAATTATTACGAATTATGACGACCAGATGTATGATGCAAGCCATGTATTTTTGTTCTGGTACAGTATCTCAACAAGATTTCAAACATTATGGACTTGCAATAGATATTTATACACATTTCACTTCTCCTATTCGAAGATATTCAGGTAAAGGAAGTTTAAAAGTTTTTTGAACATTATAAATGCCGTGAAATTTGTTAATGATTTTTTTTATCATGGAAAATATATGTGTATGCAGATGTTATTGTACATCGAATGTTGGCAGCAGCTATTGATGATAGTGAAATTTATGGAAATGAGTTAACAGATATTGAAAAAATACGAATACTTTGTGAAGGTAAAAAAGATTTTATAATATTTGAAATATTTGAAATAATCAATTTAATATATAAATGCATGTATATTAATTATTCGATTATAGGTTTAAATTATCGGCATAGAATGGCACAAAGTGCATCACGTAGTTCTGTTGAATTACACACACACATTTTTTTCAAAGGAAAAAAGGAATCAGAAAATGGATATGTAACCAAAATACTAAAGAATGGCTTTATAGTTTTAATTCCAAAGTAAGTGGTTATTTAATCATTTAAAGTCGTTTGATTGTTGATTTTTAAAAAGAGATATATTTATAAATATATTGGTGCAAATAAAAAATTAGGTACGGTATAGAAGGAATTGTTTATTCATCATCGTCATCGTCATCATCATCATCATCATCGTCGCCAGAGCCCAATATTTTATACAATGCACATGATAACAGCTTAGAAACATATTCTTCTGACGGAAAGATTATTGGCACTATTAAATTGTTTGATAAAGTAGTTGTAGCTATTAGTGTTGAGGGTTCGGATGGAGATGGTGCAAGTGGTATGAGACAAAAATTAAAGATGGAATTAATTTATCCAGTAGTGCCCGGGTTAAGTATTTCTTTAGATAATAATGATGATGGTATTGATAATAATAGAGAGTATTCCAGAAAAAAAGATTTGACAGATGTTGAAGAAGGGAATTTAGGCAAAAGATTGAAAATTTAAAATTTATTCTTTTTTTTTTTTTTACAAGACTTATTTTATATGTAGCATGTCAAACATTCAAAGAATATTTTCAGCAAGCTTAATATTAATATAAAAATTTTGATTGAAAATCATTGCTATAATCAAAAGTTGCCAATTTTATTATAACTCTTGGTGAATCCGTAAAAAAAATGAAACTATTGCTTACTTCCTAATCAGGTTGGCATTTTTATGTGTCAAATTAATTAATTTTCAATTGGACTTGAACAGATAAAGTAACTATTGAGAAACAGTCTAATATGCCAATGTACAAACTTACCATGTTAGCATATTCAAAACAAATTATTATGATATTGCTTATCAAAATAAATTTTTAAATAAAAAAATCACATTTGAAAATTTCAAGTTTGTAAATGTAGTTGAGGAAGAAAGAATTGTTGCAGTTCTTCATTCTCAATGAAGAGCCTGCCTGTACAATTTAATCAAATATTGTTTTTTTTTTCTCTTTACAATGAATTTATTTGGTAACTCTGCTCTTAAATACTTTATAGATTGATTTGTAGTTTATATGAAAAGCAAATATGGCAGTTCTAATGTTCCTAGGTTCGGTCCGGGTTCGGTTCAAGTTCGAGGTTCAAGAACATGTTCAAAGTATAAAATCCGACCAATTATTTACAAAAATATGCAAATATTTCCAAATCGTCAATTCGCCAATGTCCTGCAAGCAAGCTTTATATACAATAATGGCTGCATTTACGCTTGACTTGAGCTAGACTTGTGTTGCGAAGGAACTATTAATAATCCTACTATTTCTATTATTTCTCTTATTTATTAATTATCTGTATCAATTATCATTCGAACCGATTTTAAAATTAAAAAGTTTGGAACAACTTCGAGTCCTCGCTTGAAAGAGCGAAGGAAAAATAAATATGCAATTAACATTTTAATGAAATAAAACTCTGATAGAATCATTGCTTTAAATAAAATTAATCGTTAATAAAATCCTGGAAACAAGTGTGGGTAAAAAGGATGACGATTGTGAGGCTTTGGTAAAAAGCCACGTTTTATTTGCTTTAATGAGTAGGACATGAACATTGTTCGCGAACTTTGAACTGGACTTCTGCTTTATGTGCTGGACCGAACCTGAATATGGTCAGGAGTTCGGTTCGATTCGATCCCCAATAGGAACCCTAACTGCCCAAACCATGGATCATCTCTACAGCGCTCAGTTTACCGAAAACCAAACTCCTGAAATTTTAAACAATTTTTATTATAAAAAAAGTGAATGATGATGATTAAATAAGAAATTGAATTGAATGAAAAACTTTAGGAAAAGTCGAATGAAGAGCAACAAGAATTGCAAAAGGCCAATAGACGAAGCCGAGAACAAATCGAGAGAACCAAAGAACAATCAATACTACTAATATTAGATGCGTATTAAGCCCAGATGGATAAATTATGCTGATATTTCTAAATGTGGTAATATCGGTGTTGAAAATAGAGTTTCTACCCGGGTTTTTCCGGACATAAAGGATTCTGATTATGATTGTTTTTATCCGACAAAACTTTATCTTTTTGATAATAATATCAATATATTGATAAATGGTTAAAAATTACTTTACACGGAAAGATCTTGATCATCATAAAAACCACGTGAAACCATGTATTATAAAAGTTGGACCCGAAAAAAAAATTTTTTTTTTTTTTTTAGAATATTTCCAAGTCAAAATATTTGATTAAATGGGACCTCACTCTAAATATGATAATTTATTTATAGAACCAATTAATGCCATCAATGTAAATTTATCTAATAATAATACGATAAACTTAACGTTACCAAACCATTCAGTAAATTCAAAACGAAACAGTTCTACCAAAAGAACATATTCAAATGAATTAACAACAAAAAATCATAAATTAAAATTTAGAACAGGGACGACAATATTAACTCCACCTATCACACCGCCTATTATTGCTAGCAGTAGTAATTCATTTTGTACAGCAGATAATAATAATAATAATAATAATCATAATAATAATCATAATCATAATGATAATAACAAGTCAAAATTAATAGTAGAATGTCAAGTACGCGCACGGATTCCAACCCTAACAAAAGGAGAATTTTTTTTGAATTTATATAAAAATAATAAGGATAATAAGGAACATTTAGCAATTGTATATGGGAACGATATATACAGTAAAAGTTTAGATAGACCACGATCGGGTGAAAAGGAAATAGACAGAATGATAAGAGGCGCATATACAGGTAGATTAAGACCCGGGCAAACCAAATCAGATGAATTAGGCGAATCTATTAATAAAATTTCAACAACCGAGCAACATTCTCAACAGCAATCGCCATTAGTGAGAATCCATTCAGAATGTTTCACAGGTGAAACTGTACATAGTGCAAGATGTGATTGTGGTGAACAATTAGAAGAAGCAATGAGATTAATTCAATCCGAAGGTCGTGGAGTCATTATATATTTGAGACAAGAAGGAAGAGGGATCGGGTTGGCCGATAAACTTCGGTAAAAATAATAATAACGATTCTATGATATTTAAATTTTTTTGTTTGTGAATCCTAATAATAATAATAGTAATAATAATAACTTTCTAATATGTATGTATTATTTAATCAAGAGCGTATAATCTTCAAGATTTAGGGCATGATACAGTAACGGCTAATTTACTTTTACAACACTCGCCTGATCTTCGTAATTATGATATTGCCAATCAAATTCTTAAAGATCTTAATTTAAAATCTATAAGACTATTAACTAATAATCCTGATAAAATTGAACAAGTCAATGAATCAGGAATTGAAGTGATTGAACGTATTCCGATGATTCCCAACTTATGGAAAGAAAATAATATTGTTACTAATAGTAATAATAATAGTAGTATTGGTAGTAATAATTATTATGACGGTGTTAATATTAGTAAGAGTAATAACAAAGAATTAAATAAATACCTTAAAGTAAAGGTGGAGAAAATGAGACATTTATTAAATATTCCAGAAATATTGCTCAAATAAATTAGAATTAATTAGAATTAATTTATTTATTTATTCTTTTAATTATAATTTTTATTATTAAAACAATTATTAGATATGAAGATCAATAAGTTTCTGATAATGTGATTTTTCATTTTGAAGAAAAATTCAAAATTTCTTTTATTATCAACAATATTTTACATAGAAAATAAATAAGACCATGCTGAATATTAAAGACAAAATCCCTTAAACATCATTTCCTCCAAAAATATAAAATGAATCTGAGGTAATATCCTTGTACTCGGGATTTAAAATCTTGGTTGATGAAGCATGACGATGAAATAAATTCGAGTTTCGAACTAAATATATTTGTTTTTATACCACCTGCCTTGTTCGAAAGTATTTAGAGATAAAAAAATTGCAACTTCTAGAAATTTCTATTTCTTTTTCAAATTCAAATTCAAATTCAAATTCTATTTCGATTTTGGATTTCAATTTTAGTCAAAAGTTTTAGGTTTGATTCAAAGAAACAAAAATGAAGTAATTCAACAAGTGATTTAACGATAAATGACCACACTTTTGTATTTAAAGTCATCGGTTTTCCGAAAAGTAGTATGGTCTTTGGAACCGAAACTAGTACAACCCTAATGTACAACTTTATCTAGGTCGGCAACACACGCAGCTTCTGCTTTTCCAAAAAACTAACTATCCACCAATTTCTTAAAATTCTTTGTTGCTTCAAGCATTATCTAAGATCGGCAAAATGAAAAATTGCTCGATTTGCTCCATCGATCCGAATTCATAAATAGTCATATTTCTGTATTTATAAATCACTTATTACAATCAAAAAGTATACGGTGCGGGTCATTATAACCTATCAAATAATTTTAAAGCTAAATAGGAAATGTTGGATGCTTATTTGGAAAAAATAGAGGTGATATTGATAGCTATTGACTAGTTCTACAACCTATCATCGAGATATTTTAAAAAAATTATTAGAGTTATTAGCTTTTAAAAATTTCAATGTTTCAACATATAAAAACACGTGATTTTAAAAGAACTAGTCAAAAACTATTTCTATTTTTTTTCCAAATAAACATTCAATATTTCTCTATCTAGCTTTAAAAGTTGATTAGATGGGTTGGCGTAACCCGCATTATACAATTGCCATTAAAAAACTTGTCAAACATAGTTTAATATTTTGAACAAAGTTTTTCTTAAAACAAATTTTCAGTGCTTGACTGATAAAGAGAAATTTCCATCATGCTCACGCACTGTACCACTTAATTTATTTCGTGCCGCAGAAAGCATGGGAAAATACAATAATGTACCTCAGATAATTTAAGAATGATGATTTTTTTAATAGAAGAAGAGGTACAAGAACAACAATTGCAATCAATACTAGAATAGAAGAAATCCTGGTGCATTTCACGTTGACAATGGAATTTCTATTTTGTGACCATTCTGTTGATTGAGTACGAAAGTCAACGGTTGATGAGCACCTTGATAGCGAAGCTAGAAAAATCTGTATGAAAATAAACAACGTCAACTTCAACAAACACTTGTACTTTTCTTTCTTCTTCTGAATCTAAAAGAAATGAATGGGCAATTTATTGTGGATTCCATGTTTAGTATAGAAGTTGCGTGAATATTGGTCAAATATGACCGAAGATTTACCCTTTTATCTCAAATAACATTTGAATATATAGTTACCAATTCCTTCTTGTAGTATAGAATGAAGTTTTTCTAAATATAATTCAATTTTAGATGATAATCAACAAAATTTATCTGAAGAGTCTTTACGAAGTTTAAACGTGCTTTATTTTAATGGTAATAATTTATGATTTCTATTTTGTAATAATTTTAAATGAATAATAATAATAATAATAATAATAATAATAATAACTAATTTAATGGTCGCGTAACTATTCTTTCTGATTGCAAAACCGGAGAATGCATAGTAATATAGATAATTAATATCAGAAATTACGCAGAATATAGTTTGTTTTTAGCACGAACGGAATTAATGTTTCATCACCAGAAAATTGTCTCGAGTTTGTTATAACTATAATACCGATCATTTCTTAAAAACGAATGCATTCTTACAAATTTAATCAAACAAAGAAATAAAGTTCAAACAAATGCTTTGCAAGTTAGTCAGCCACATTTCTCCAATCAAGTAACCAATAAAGAAAATCTTTTCAGTGAATTTCCCGTTTTAGTTTTTAAAAAAAAAATTTTGCATTTAAAAATAAATACCTTTAACAAAATTTCTTTATTTTCTACAGTAATTTTATCGCCGAATTTTTGGTCAATTAATGTAAAATAAACATACAAGTGACATAAAAACCAAAAAAAGAATATAAATATCATGACAATACTTGTAAAAAGTATATCGGAAGTACAGGGAGGTGGGGGAGGGACGCTCTTTGATGATTTTAAAGACATTCTTAGTAATCTAACATTTGGTGGTGCCGCTAATATAAAAAAAATCAGTGTTAAAGGGGTAACAGACATTAAAAGTAACGATTTTTTAGAAACTATTCGATTTGTCTATAATGTAGTGACAAAAGACGGAACGTCGTATGAACATCAAGGCAATAAGCGGGGCTTAGGTATAGGAGGACCTGATCAAGTGCCATTTGATTTTGCTGCTAATGGGGATTTAATAGAGATAAGAGGCAGAACTGGCGTCGACCCAGGTGGATCTACAGTCGTAAGATACTTGATGTTCAAAACACCACAAAAAACGCTTGAATATGGTAAAAATATCCCATCAGTGAAAGAATTTGTTTTACCTCCGGGTGTTATCTTTGGAAATAGTGGTAATACTGTTGATTCCCTCGGGGCATACGAGGTTGCAGAAATAGTCGATAATGCAACATCAACAATTACTGAAACAATGGCAGAATCTACCAAAACAGTAACGATAACTGCTGATGCTGTAGCAGAAACGATGTTTGTCGATGATCCTCGGATAATTATCGGTCTCAGTGTTCCCATAGCAGCATTAAGTATACTATTACTGGTGGCTTTGTATTATATATATAGGAAAAATAATTACTATAAGAGTAAAAATGGTCTACTCAGAATAGCAGGTAGCGATCATTAATGATAATTGCAGTTAAGGAAAATATCGATAGTTGAATAAATATACTAGCATATTAAATTACTCTATCTTTAATATATGTACTTATTCATTAAATCACATCATTTGTATATTACCAGTAACTTTACAATACTTTCTATTTATAATAATATAAACAACAATATAATGTACATTTGTTTTTATTGTAATATATAGAGCATGGAATTTTTGTTTTTTGATCAACATTCGAAATTACACATTATTATTATTATTTTGTTTAAGGGTGGGATCCCGCAAACTTCATAGGTTACTGCTGCAAAGCTGGTCGAATCATTTGATAGGGTCAATCTGTGGGTCAAGTTATTATTATTATATATAATATACATCAAAAAGGTTGATTAGGTTTAATAGGGGGGTCAAATCTATTATATGGGGCATGCTGCAACAAAACCAGCCAAAGTGAACATTGGTATTACTGTTGTACGTGAAAATGAAATTATGTGAATTTGCAATTCACATATGTGAAATTCAAATTTACATGTGTGAAATTCAAATTAGCCAATCAGAATTTCATCCCACTCCATAATATTTCAATTTCACATAATTTCAATTTCACATACAACATTACCAAAGATTTCAGGATCAAAATTTAGTAATGTGGTTATTAAAATCTTCCATTTGTTATCCTCTTAATATATAGAATTACCTCTATATAAAAATAGTTAATATGAAACTCATTTATATCAGATCTACTATGGAACCCAAGAATTATAGCACCATTAGAAGTATTCTAAAAAAGGAACAAGGTGAAAAAATTGCACCTTACATTTTCAAAATAAATGATACTCAGATGCTGGAAGCTTATCTAAGAAAAGAAAAGATTACTTATGAAATTTACCATGAAGAAAGAAAAATAATAAATGTTGGGAAAAGAAAGCATCATGATGATGTATTATTACCTAATAAAAAGCAAAATCTTTAAAAGGAAAATAACTATCATTTTCTTTGATAGTTGGAATTATACAGAGGGAAATAACCAAAAGTTACTTTCTTATTTTCAATCAAGGTCATTTCTTAGTTTCTTTAATTTCAACTTGTGCAGTTAATTGACCATTCTGTTGTAATTGTTCTAACTGGTTCTTTAATTTCTCATTCTCTGCCTCACAAGCATTTAACTTATTGACTAACACTTAAGGGGTTAAAGTTTTCAATTGTTCAATTTTCTGAGTCAATTTAATAATTTCTGTTTCTTGTTCATTCATAATAATGTATTTTTTTTTTTACACAGAAAATAACTTTTCTAAAAATGTGTTACATATTTTTTATATTTAATTGAATCCAACACAAAATAATTAATGAAAGTTAACAAAAGAATACAACTCGATTAAATCAGTGCTTGGAAAGAATACTTACCATCTCTCTTGAGACCAAAAAAATGTTTCACAAAATTGATTGATTATTATCATTTATCCTTATCCTTATCCTTATCTTGATCATAAGCACTCACTCCCCCAACGATTTAATTAAAAAAAAAAAGCCACTTGATTAAATTAAGCCTTTTCAAAACACTTCCCTAAACAATTTAGAATTAATCCGTTATTGTTTTTGAAAATGTAAAGATTCTTTCCTGACTAGTAATTTGGGAATTAATTACTTATTGTAAAAATATTAAACAACCATGCCCATTTTGAAAATGCAAAGAAAATATTTCCCCCGCCATCAACAATTTGGAATTAATTCATTATCACTGTAGCAGAATTTAAAAAATGTGCAACATTACTATTATTATTAAACGATCGGAAACATATAAACAAGGGGGACAGATTACCATATCGACACTAACGTGACTGGAATTCGAATGCATCACGCAAAACCAGATCACGAATATTATTTTGACACTTCGTGCCTCGTTCGAGTGCAACGTACAAAATCAATTCATAGAATCTTATTTTGGCACTACGTGCTTCATCCTCGAATTCGAATGAATCATGAAAACGAAATCGATGTACGTTTTTCCTGGTCAGAAGAAATGCTACTCATGATTGGTCGTGAACAATTGTTCACGGTAATCACGTCTTTACATCTTGGAGTCTTAATTCGGGCTATGTATAAAAAACATATCAGATTCGAAAATGTGTTGGTAAACGCAAAATACAACGCCGTCGTCATTTTGGTAGACGAGAGTCCGCATGTACCATGGCGTGAAATGCGACACCACAGCACGTAGTGCCTCGGCTTCGGGCAAGGAAAGCGTTTAATAAGTAATCGACTATAGCGAAGAGAAACAAATAATAAGCAAGTTGAGCGCCACACACATCGCATAATTAATAAACCCTTTAATATCGTTGATAAACTCACTGACACTTTAATACATGATGTGGAAGTGAACTGTCGGTAAAATGAACTGTCGGTAAAATGATTGCCGGTAAAATGAACTGTCGGTAAAATGATTGTTGGTAAAATGATTGTCGGT